ACTGACAAGGTCTAGCCTGGGGTCATTACCATGCAGTTAAATTCTCATGACTCGTTCTCAATCAATAGCAAATGTGTGCCCAGGAATTGGAAACTCCTTTAACATTTTGTCAGGAAGGGCTGGGGATGTAGCTCAGTGGTACAGGGTTTTCCTGCCATCTGCAAGACCCTGGATTCAATCCCCAATCACTCCAAAAAAAAGAAAAAACAAAAATGTCCATGAAATACAATTAAGATGAAAATCTCTTGATGGAAACAGTAATATTTTGCAAGACTAAACAGTTCAACTTTAGTTTACTACCAGTTCAGATAAGGATTTTGATACAATACAGAGAGAAGACATAAGGTTCAAATTTCACTCTGTAATACACAAAGTCAGTGTTTGTCAAACTTTAGAGTGCATAAGAATCACATAGAGGACCCCACACCGGAGTTTCTGACTCAGGCACTGTCCTGGGGCTCCAGATCTGGCATTTTAACAAGCTAACTGGTACTTCTGTGTCTGTTCAGGGACACATTTTAAAAATCAGTGCTCTCGATTAGGAGATCTTATTATCTCCATCAGATAATAAGACGGTCCTTCATGAAAGAACTTATTAATTTATTGAATACCGGATCATGTTGAAGGTTTCCAAAATTTTTAATCCATTTACTAAATCTTTAAAAAATTGTGAATGAAATATAAATGATGCAAAACCAAAACCCATGTTTTTAAGTTAATTTGGGAACAGGGCCAGGAATTTGGCCAATCAACTTCTTTATCAAGGAACTAAGCAGAAATCTTTTGACAAGTTTTACTATTATACCAAAGACTTTTGCAAACTACCACATAATGTCTTTCCTTTTCTTTTAATTTAGCCATACGAAAATGGCTAAAATGCAATGTGAGTGCTTAAAATATGAATATCTTGGTACAGTATCAATTGCAATTCAGTATGGTCAGCTTTACAATTTTATATTTACCTTATGCTTCAGAGTAAAATATTTCCTTTTGTTACAGTGTTTCCTCTGGACCTCCCCCACTTTTTTCTGCTGCTTCTCCCACCCCAGGCTTCATGTTTTATTGTCACTGACACTCTTGTATAGGGAAGATAATACTGCTGATAGATGCCTATGTCCTCAATATAAAGCAAGCCGATTTTGTCACTATCCAATAGTGAAATCATGCAGAAGCTGTCAGTCACACAATGGGCAAGATTATATTATCAAAATGATACACCTGAAACATATAGTCCAAAACCAAACTCAAAAGAGACCAATTAACTGATAGGCTGGTTCATAACCTGACTAGGTTGGAACTTATTCCATTCTGCAATGAAGATGAAACTGGTGATTTAGCAGGCTCTCACTTTTATAATAACGCTTATCTATACACTGTCAACAAAATATATATGAGAATCTTGTAATTCAACTAATCTGAAAGTAATTCCATTCAGCTATTGAAAGTCACATCTAATATCTGTACAACTTCTTTACTGTCACTGTAACATACTTCTAGGCTGTCATGTTAAGTAGATTGGCTCAAAGTCAGTTCTGATGCTTCCCTTCGTGTTCTTAAAATGAACAAATACCTTTTAACCGGTTTGTGTTTGCCTAAAAAGAACATATATACAAAGAAAAAAAAATAAGCTTAGAATAGAGACAGCACATTCTATCACTAATACAGTTTACATATCAGAAGATAGCTAAAAGCTCTCTAAATTGTTGCTACAATTCTACAACTTCCCCTACCTGCCTAGCACCATAGTTCTACAGTCATAGTGACTAGGGTAACAATAATGACCTATTACATGGGTGAATATAATAACTTTAAATAAATCTATCTAAAAAAATCTAACCACTTTAAAATAGAAATACTATAGAAGATACATTATTTAGTGGATTATACACTCACATGATGATAAAATGTTAAGCATTCAATGAATTCCCATTAATATTGTTATTTTGCACATCACTATATTTCTTTTTTTTAGGGCAAACCTAAGAACATTTGAATAAGTCCCCAGACACTTTCCTGAGAAGTGGCTGCACATGCACAACCTCGTTATCAACACCAAACTCAACACTTCGAGGTGGTTTGCATATATTTCAATGCTTAAAGTACATTTTCTTTATAAGTACTCTAATGAGCTGTTGAAGTAATGCAAGTATATAGTACTTATTGAAAGACTGTATGAAGAGTCATCTTTGCAAGTTCAGAAATGTTGACAGTGCACTTCAAGAGAATTGATAGAATGTTGTACATCAAAAGCAGTCTCACCCTGCACTTTACAACAAATATCTAGCAATAGCTAAACCGATTTCAAAGCAAACTTACCTTCTCTTACTTCTATTCTTCCTTTTCTATAATTCCAGGAGAATTGCATCTTAGCCACAATCTGCTAATCCTATTTGTCCTTTAAGATCAAGAGCAAGTAAGTCTTACCTACCCTCTGAAGTCTTTTCAGACAAAATGCAGTATGAAATGTTATTGTCATGCTCTGAACTCCTGGAGTCCCCATTAGACATGTAATCTCTTATTGTCATGGACTGTTAACTCTATATTCAAGAATGAGTGGAAAGAGGGGAAAAATGACCCAAACATTGTTTGCACACATGAATAAAAGAAAAGAAAAAAAGAATGAGCAGCATACTCCTTCCCATTGGCTGGTAGTTCCGGAAGGAAGATTAAGGAGTAAGGAATCCCCCTCCCCACTCCCAGTACATACATTTGTTCCTCCACAATAACCAGACAGTACCTTGCCCACGATAGGCCTTTTATTATGAATATTAAGAGTAAGCAAATGCAATTAAAAGTTGAATAGCTATTAATGCAGAAACAAAATGTTTCATTTTTCTACTTCATGAGTTTGACATAAATTAACTTTCAATGATATAAAAAATTGCTGATGCTGAGTGTCAAAAAACCAAAATATTCATAAATATGACATACAAAGCTTGCAGTAACACAGTTCATCAACTTCCTCTTTTAAATTCCTAATTATGTCTGTGTTCTAACTTTTTGGGATAGTTAAGGCAATGATACTCAGAGTGGAATTCACCATGTGATGAACTAATATATAAAACTGTACATACTTTGGTATTGGAAATGCACCTTAAATTAAAATTGAATCTTACCAAATCGAGGTATCAAATCTTTAACTCTGTTTTGGTCTTTAAATGAACAGGACTGTTAAGGAAAGCTATCTTCTATTGGGGGAAAACAAACAAGTGTGTTTTTTCTTTAATCAAAATACTTTTTATCAAGCACTTTAATTAAATCAAATGAAGTCAAATCACTCAGACTTTAGGTTCTATAAAAGCCCAGGTTGCTACTTTTAAGGACAAATGCAAATTTGCTAAGGCATTGTGATAGACACCATCAAAGTCATCTCTGAGCTTCAAGTTATGTACTTGTGATTTGGACCTGTGGTAAAGCAAATAGAAAGAGAAACTACCCCAAACTAATTATGTTGTAGCCTGGATTAAAAGTACTCTAGGTCTTCCCTTAACAACTAGCTTTTAAAGAATCAGTAGTAATAGACATAAACTCACTTAGGTGTCTGCTTCTCTGTTCTTCTCAAGGCTTCCAATAAAATCACCTTTATATAAAATATGTGTACCTTATTTCAATAGCCTTTAGAAGGAGGGGAGATGGAGTAGGACAGTATTCAGCCGTGAAGATTTCAGCAATGAAAGGTGTTGAAAGCAAGCACGTACTTTCTGTCTTGAGGGTCCTACTGAGGGCCTGAAGAGGTAAGAGGAGCTGACCTTAAGCACATAAAAACACTATAGGGCAAGAGATCAGTGACTTCACTTTTATCTACTTGTGAAAAGAGGCGTGATTTTCTGACTTCATTTTATATCGCAGGTTGCACGACAGGGAGAAAAAAAGGCATTATTGCTTCTAACTCGGAGAGAGGAGAGAGAGAGTGGCTGAATATACTGAATGAAACCCCGAGAATTTTCACAACTCTTTGCCATAAATAGCCTTTCTTCTCACTCTGGATACCTCCCCCTTTACATCAGCAAAGCTCAGCCTCCACACGCAGAGAAGCACCATTCACAAATCCCTCCGTCACCCCTTCGCGCACCCCTACGCCTCGCTGGCACGGTGTGTAAGCGTCCCTGGGACACAAGCCAAAAGATCAGGGGCCTTGGGAGCCACCTGCAGTTTCAGCTCAGGGTTGACTTTCTGCTCAGGTGACCCAACGCATTCAGTTCCGAGTGAGCCCACACAAGAAGGATCTCTCTCTCTCTCTCTCTCTCTCTCTCTCTCTCTCTCTCTCTCTCTCTCTCTCTCTCTCTCTCTCTCTCTCTCTCTCTCTCTCTCTCTCTCTCTCTCTCTCTCTCTCTCTCTCTCCCCCTCTCCCCCCCCCTCAGCCCTTGGCCCGCCACCACAAAGCAATTTGTCCACTCTAAGTCACCGCTGCTTCTGCCACCACCAGGGAGGGTCTCCTCTCCAATCCAGGAAGCCAGAGCCCCAGGAGCAGTAGGCGGCAAGAGGAGGTCCTGGCTCCGCCACTGCGGCTCCGCCGGGAACCCCAGACTACCCGCCCCCTCCTCCCCTTCCCCCTCTGCGTCGCCGTCCCCACCCTGGCACCGGCAACCCGGTGTGTCCAGTGCCACAGCCGGCCGGCTGTCCCTACCTGCGGGACGCAAGGGAGAGGGAGGGGAGCGGCCCCGAGCCTGTGCCAACTCTTTCCTGCTCGGCCCACCCCGCCACCATCGCCGGGGCCGCGGGAGCAGAGCGCGCAGGAGCGTGGAGGAAATGGCCACGCAGCTCCGGGATCGTCGGGCCGGGGCTGGAGAGCCTGTCCGTGTCCCTCCCACCCCGCCGGCCAGGCCGGGGTTCCAAGGCCAGAGCCCGGGGCCTGGGCGGGAGCTGCTCCGGAGCGGCCCGGGCACGGCGCGGTCACCTGCCCAGCGGTCACTCCCGTGTCCGCCTAGGGCCGGTCCGGGCGCAGCAGCTGCGACACGACGCGCGACCCCCGGGCGCGGGGACACCGGGGGCGTTACTACCTTGAGGGCTCCGCGCAGCTTGTTAGGGCTCCTCCCGGGCACTCATGGATGTCTGTCTTCAGGGCACGGAGGGGTGTCCTTCCTGGTCCCCCTCCTCTGTCCTCCCGCCCCTTCTTGGCTGTTGGGCTCCTGCTCTCCACTCCCAGTTGCACAGAGTCGAGCTGCGCTATTTAATAATCCTTCTGCTTCTGCCGCCTGCACCAGCAGAGCTGCTCTTGCACTGCTTCCCAGTCAGTCATGTTGTTGAGAGAGAGAGAGAGAGAAAGAGAGAGAGAGAGAGAGGCGGATTGCCAGTCGATCGGCGACTATTTGTGGGGAGGGAGAGAAGAGCAGAGGCAGAGGAGGGCAGGGGAGGGACGTGGGGAGGCGCTTCCAAGTGTGTGAGTGCGCCCAGTGTGACAGTGTGGAGTGCTCTAGCCGCCTCCCTGGCAGGCCGCGCTCCCGGGCTGCAAGAAGGGCGGCGACGCGGCGCGCGCGGCCTCTCCAGACCTGGGTGACAAGAGTTGGCCCTGGCAGGAGCGGCCTCGAGGGCGGCGCCGGGCCAATTACGTCGCGGGCCACCACGCACGCACACTCCTACATGGACACGCGCACACCCACTGCTGGTCCGCTGCTGAGTTTTCATTTCGGGGGAAGCTACATAGGACTGTGCTGATTTGGGCTTCCCCGCCTCCCCCGACCTAGTCCGTCCTTGGGTATGTTGAGTTCAAGTTGTCTTGGCAGGTCAAGACAAGAAAATTCTTAAGAGTCTAAAGAGAAGCCTGAGTGACCTGACTGTGGGCATACTGTAAAGGCGCGGTGTCTGTCCTCTCCAAGCCATCCATGTTGTCTTCTTTCCCTTCCATCTCTTAGAAACAAATTATGGGGGTCTTTCTTTTTTTGTGTGTATTTGTCACCTATTCCATTGGCATCCTGACTCTTCTTAAAACAGTAACAAGGAAAGAAACCTTTCCTTGAAGCAGGTCACGCCTCCCAGGAAGCATTTGCAACAATCAATCCTTCTGTAAAATAATGGAGGCATTGTGACTTATTGAGAGTGGGACTTGTGTTCCTACACATAAGGTCCTCCAGAGCAGGCATTAGGAACAGAAAGGACTACCAGTTTGACGTCATTTGACTGATGGCCCCCTGGAGAAATTTGCCAGTTTAGAGCTGGAGAAGACTTCTGATGCATGGTGCTGTTGCTTACCTAATTTATTTTCCCTTGAGCCTCCCTCCCTCTGTGCACTGCCTTGTTTCCTTTCAGGTTTGCATTGGGTCCCCAAGTGCTTTCTCATCCATTCCCCTCTTTATTTCTACTTCTGTGTTCTGTCTTTAGTAACAACACAGCAGGTGTACTGCATTTAACTCCATGTGTGTATGTTTCTCAGTTTTTAAACTCATTCTGGAGGAATGTAGTACCCTTTGAAAGTAGGTGATACATCTCCAATATTAAGTTTATACATCTGACATCACCTGCCTTCTTCCTTTTATTACCTTCCTGACTGGATTACAAATATCTGTCATCTGATACACTGCTTCATTTTAGAAACAGCTCCCAGATATCAAGTAACCAACACATTTTTTCAAGGCTGTATGTACATGTGTATGTGTGTGCCTGTGTGTCTGTATGTGTGTTTTATGTAGTCTGTTAGCCACAATCCACCTTCTAACATGTGGCTATAATGAAGGTAAAAGTAAGGTGCATTTTTAAATGAGTCCTGAAGATGTGTAGTCGGGCATGGGAATAAATTTGCTGGGGGAGGGACAACTGTGAACAACAAGTTTTCATAAACATGACAAAAGAAGATAACATTTAGGAGGACAGAGGTACTAGCAAGATTGACAAGTCACTTGTCATATCTTCTTCTGTGGTTTATGAGCAGAGCTACAACTTTAAACTTTTGTTACCTATCACCCCATTACATTTTACCTTTCTTCACATACATAATCTTACTAATTATGTCTCCTCTCATTCAATGAGTTTAGAGTCCATAAAGAATGATTTAATGATATGATCATAAGCTAATAAGATATATTAATGGAAATGTGCAAAAAAGTGATATTTGAAAGAAACAGTAGCAAAGTGGAAAGGGAATGGTTGACAAATATATCAGTAATGTATAAGTATTGACCACTATAACTTCTTAGATTAAGCATTGCAAGATGGATCTGTACAAACAAAGGATATTGGGGTGTTATGTGCTCTCTATGAAACCACTATTATTGTTGCCTCAGTTTTACAGATTAGGATTTGGGAGGTAAGTAATAAACCTAAAATGATTCAAAAGTTAAATGACACAGCTAGCACTCTGTCTTACTCTATTGTCCGTTAGGCTTCCCATCCAGAACTCATAAATTGGTTAAAAATCTTATGCATTCCTTTAGAGCTTTTAATAATTATATGACAAACATCTAAAATCTTTTGGCATTTTCTTTCTATCTCCTCCTTTTTATAAAGCAAGAGAGGTTTACAAAATGTTCAACTTTCTGGAGTAGGAAAGGATTCATACATGGAAAAGTTGGGAAACTTTTCTCCACAATCTTTTATAAGAAAAATCTTATTGAAGAGTCATTTCTAAACATTCATATCTAGCAAATGAATATATGGCTATTGAAAGCTGAAAATATATATTTAAAAATGTTCTGTCCACTCTTGAAGGACAATCATATCAAGCAAGTTTGGAGGCCTTTTTAAATTTTGGTTCTGTATTTAATTGCAATTAATAATGGTAATTTGATTTTAACTCTGTAATGTATACCCCAAAATTATATATTAGACCAGATATTTCAAGGGCACTTTTAGTAACCACAACTGATTGTAATTTTCACACTCTCAAATTGCATTCATAATTAGCGAGAACCATGACAATCTGTCAAATTGCCTTGTTTTCACTAAGATATTAAATAAAGCTAACATTTCTTGCTTATTTTTTTTCCAAATAAAGGCTAGAATTCATATGCACTAATCCAGAAAGATATGAAATTATATCACCAAAAACACACTTCTGAAAAGCTGATTCATTTTAACTATTTTGTATCTTTGTTTAAAAAAAATCTCCACTAGAAACCTGATTTATAAATTTTAATGAATAACATTTTAGAAGTTTAGTAAATGAATTATTCTCTTTTAAGATGCTTAGTGTTTCAAGTAGAATTTCCCACTTTGCAACACACTCAATGATATAATTTTTGTTGTGATAGGAAAACAGAAAGCTAATGACTCTTTCCAGTTTGTTCATTTTCATCTCTTGTATGGTTGCTGCTGTTTGGTTCCCAAGTGCATTTAACTGGCAAGTTCAATGAAGATTTGGCATTGCACCATTTGATGAAAGCAGAAAAATTAGGTTGCCAATTACATATGTGCCCCTTATGTGCACTGAATTCCCACTTGAAGTGATGAGCCAAATTTGAAATTCCTCAGTAGTAGTACCTAAAAAATAGAATTAGAGCTCAGGAAAGGTAAGGAAGACCATTTTTCTTTCTACCCTCATTATTAGTCATAAGATATATTAGAAATGGAATTAACTAATGCATTTACAAAGCAGCATAGATGAAGTTTCATTTAAAACATTAAAAATTGTCTCCATTTGTTTGTTTCCTTTCCTAGGTTTATTGTTCTTTGCTTTAGTTCATTCTCCATCGCGATTATTTAGTCATTGTGAAGAAAGTTAGACAAGTGTCATTCCTCTCCTTTGCTTTAACCTAATTGCTATGGTTTTAAAGTGTTTCTCAACTTTTCCTTCCCTTCCTATGTTGTAAACTTAATCACAACGTTGAATATTGATGATATTTGAAGATAGGGTCTTTGGAAGGAATTAAGGTTAGATTAGGTCATGGCAAGGGCATGTAGGATTAGTGGCTTTATTTAAAAAGAAAAAGAGGCCAGGTGCTGGTGGCTCACACCTGTAATCTAGCTACTCAGGAGGCAGAGATCAGGAGGATCATGGTTAGAAGCCAGCCTGGGCAAATAGTTTGCTAGACCCTATCTCGGAAATAAACCCTTCACAAAATAATAATAGTAATAATAATAATAATAATAGTAATAATAAGGCTGGAGTGGCTCAAGGTGAAGGCCCTGAGTTCAAGCCCCAGTACCACCAAAGAAAAGAAAAAAGAAAGAGAGACCTCAACATATAAACTCTTGAGTTCTTTCAAGAGAACTTAAGATGCTTTCCATGTTATAATACAGCAGGAAGGTTGTTTCACCTCACTAGGTGTTGGCACCTTGATATTGGACTTCCCATCCTCCAAAACTGTGAGATTCACATTTCTTTTCTTTACAATCACCAGTCATTGCTATTCTCTTGCAGCAGCAATAACAGTATGAAAGAAATGCAAGACAGTATTATAAATACGGCATTAGCATTCTGGACTTTTTTCCATACCACTAAAAGGTAAATTATCCATTTGTGATGACTATTCTAACACGAAAATGGCATTATGAGTACCTTAGAGAACAGGAGCAGTGAAGCCAAATCAGGACTGAAACTGACCCTTGGTTCAAGACAAGGACTAATGAGGCATAAGATGAAAATACACCAAAGACTGACTCAACTACAGTTCTGGGTCCAGAGAACACTAAAAATTCTATCACAATGTGGAAAACTCTTTGTTGGGATAATCTGACATGTACAGTAGACAAGAAATTAGAGTTCCAGAAATTTGGTAGTGGCAACTATGACTTGGTAAATTATGGGTTTTTTGCCCCAGAAATTTTGCCCAGAGGCAGGATCTATTCATGCAGAAACCTGGGCAGAAGCTAAACTCAGGTTACTGGGTTAAAACACTTGCTGTACAAGCTGTCTTTCATCGGGGAACTACAGACAACTAGGATTCATCCTTCAGGGTGGACATGACAGCAAGACTACTAAAGAGAAGGTAAGCCACTGTCCTTGTATCTGGGCTACCATTCTAGGTTTACAGAGCATTATAATTCAAACTCTATTTAATGGGGTAAGAGATTGAAAAGTAGAGGACACTGGGACACATTTTTATCCCAACAGCTAAGGTGAGTCCTGGTTTCTAGGGGAGACTCCCAGTTTAGGGAGCCGAGGTGAGTAAAGAAGGTGAGAGCTGACAATGACACAATCATTCTTTAAGTTTATGCCTCTCCATACTCTCAAGTGGACAAACTATTGAAACAATTTTATTAACATAAAGCAGAAGAACCCATATAAACAGGTTCACCACTAAAACCTTTTTGTTTTATATAATTTCCTTGTGTTTGTTTCTATTTTCTAATGTTACTAAGGAGATATTTGGGGGAAAGACTTCAGGATTTCTTGTCTTCAAATGAGGCAATTTCCACATTGGAATATTTTTTTTCTGATTGCAGTATTAAAAAAGAAAACTTAGCCCAATGTAAGCTGCTTTTTCAAAAACTGAGCTTCTGAGTTGTTCTACTGTAATTGTGACTAGTATCTTTGTAGTTAAAAGCACTTCCTTAAACCAA